CTATCCAGGCCCAACATGCAAAGCCAAGGGTGGGATACACACATAGTGGAAAACTGGCGCCCCACTGGCCATCCATGGATGCAGGAACATTTGGCTCAGTTCGCAATTTAAGAACTTGCCAAATTCACATTCTCTGATTACTCATGTTTCTAAACCTTTTGTGACGCAGTTCTCGAATCCGAAAATGCTTGCAATGTATGGAATAGAATACATAACTGAATACATATTATCTGATATATTCCCTAATAGCACTCATATAAAATGCTGTATATTAATGGAAAAAGTATAAACAAGCACTGTGTAAGGGAAAGCCGCAAAATGCATATATTGGGCAAAATTGTGTTTAAAAAAGCATATATTAGGAGAAATGTATATGAATTTTCTGTCTTTTTTAATGCAGTAGTTGTGAACTAATGGAAAGACAAGATGGAACAGTGCTAAGACTGGAAAAACAAGAAAATGAAATTGAAAGATTTCCCCATCCCTAGTCATCAAACATCCCTAGTACTTTCGTTATAGTCAGGCAAGATTAACAGGGATCAATGACCCATCACTGCACCAAATCAGGGAAGTCATGTTTATCTAAGGCAGGAATCCAAAAGTGTTCATCACTTTGATTTATTTCCTAGGTTACCAAAGTATACTTCTGTTGGGAAACTGAGAAGGTTAAGGTTGCATAAAAAGGTTGAGTTTTTTAAACTCAAGCAAGACACTAGACCCAAACAAGCTGGTAGGGATAAAAAATAACCCTTATTTAGGCCTCTAACAGCAAAATGACTCCAGCTGAAGCAAAGCTGGCTTGAGCTGGATAGTGGTTCCTGAGCCAGCACTGACAACCCTGCCTGCTCAGCCGAGTCACTGCTGTAGAAGCTGCCGCAGACACAGCAGACGAGATGAGAGGGGCCTGCCCGGCAGTGGAGCTGTGGCAGGAGAGCAGGTGTGCAAGCATGCCGGCTGGGGGGGAAGAGCCCCCCCCCCCCCCCCGCGGTGCTTGTGCACGGAATCTCATGGCTCTCCAGGGCCCAAGCGAGCCGCCATGACTGAAGCACAGCTTCTATTAAGAACCGAGGAGAGACAATGCTGTGAAGATAACACAGGCCAGCAGCCAGATAATCCGCCACTTGGTCTGTTGCCCCTTGGCTCACTCTACCTCATTTTACTCTTGCATTTCTTCTGCTCTGTTCTGTGTCAGGTGTACCCTACTTGGACTTGACGAACAGTCAGGAACCATGGAGAAAAGGCCTCCTAAAAGCAGGAAACTGACAGCCTTACAGCGTGTCCAGCAGGCTCACTGCTTCAAAAGCCTTTCTGGCTGGAGAGGGCCCAGAAAGGGCAATCTCTGCATTGCGTCAAGGTGACAGCTTCCTTTCTTTCCAAACCCACCCCCCAATTCCTTTCAGGGCAAAATCCTCCTTCCACCTGCTATGAGCACTCTCCGGTTTTGCTGGGTACCATCTCCTTAGCTTCTGCCTATATAACAAGTGTATGCCCTGCCCATTGGTACTGACTACCACTTTCTCTTTAGAAATGGGATGTTCTGTGTAAGCTGAAGTCTCATCATCATGGCCCCACCAATGCATCCTGTTTGAATGCACTACCTTGGGAGTGAGGACCATATTGCCCCCCCCCCCATATATTATATGAGTCCAAAGATGAAGGTCGGAAGATGGGAAAGGGACTCCCTTCTAGAAAATGCTGCCAAAGCCACTACTTTCCCTCAGTCCCTCAAGGTGCCCTCTGCAGTTCAACAAATCTAGGATACATCACAGCAGAATAAAGCAAGTTCTTTGGCAGAATATTTCTCCCAAATAGTTTCAAAAACAAATAATTCCCTTCTGTTTCTTCGGTTAAATAGCCAAAAGCACTAAAGCCTGCCTTTAAAAAAACAAAACAAAGGAAATATCTAAAATCCAGCTAAGTGGAACATGAGGCGCATTTGTGACTATGTCTAGAGACTAATGAGATGGAGATGAAAGCTGCCTTTATCTGCAGGCTAAGTCCATGTTGTTTAAAAGAAAGCCCTGTTTATTTTGATCTGCTGAAAGATGGGGTCCTTTGCATGATTCAACAGGGCTGCACATACTTGAAAATCAGATTATTAATGATAGTGTCCATTATTCAAACCATCCTTTATTGTCAAGTCAATTTCCCTGTTAGTTTACACAGACAAGTGCTTCTTTCTTATCTGTGGAACTAGTAGCCTACTGAGTTGATACAAGTGCAGATCCTTTTTGTTCCCATGTACTACAGGAGGGAGCTGCTGCTGGCAGAACAGGCACCAAGAGCGTGAAAAGGGTGTCCTGGGCAGCTCATGGCAAGCAGCCCCCCACAAGGAAAGTTCCCACTGGCCTTTGGAGGTGCAGCTTTGGTCATTACAAAGGCACCTGTGCCTGAGAGATTGCCCTGTGTATGTGTGTCTGTGCGCGCCAAACCCAGACTTCGTATGTAATAATCAGAAGAAAGTCACTACCAGAACTGATCGATGCCAGAGACAGGACAGGACTGGCCAAGGGGGTGCTTACAATTCTGTCTCCCACAAGGTTTCCAATGGATCCATTCCAAGGTGTTTTTTATCTTTCTCCTCTGCTCAGATGGAAGCTGGGAATGGGAATGGTTTGGGAAGTCCTATTACCCGATGCACTGCTAAACCAGAAGACCCGATTGGATTAGCTGAATGCAGTTAATGTCTCACAAATAAAGCCGGACTGGGAATCGTTAGCACTTTGCTGCCAGCTGAATGAGTTACAGCAAATCTCTTTCTACTCCCAGAGCGCACAACTTCCTTTTCATCACTGGCTGCCTGAGTATTTTGTCACAAGCCCTAACAGACTGCACCTTGGCACACGCACGAACAGCCTGCTTTCTGGGAAGCTATCCTGCCTTTGTAAAACTCATGAGAGGGACCAAGCTTACATCAAGCTCCTGCCAAACAAGCTGGGGCACGCTGAACAAGGCCTCCTCCCAAGCCGTCAGTCCCATCTCCCCATGCTGCTGATTGGTACATTTCCATTCATCCGTGAAAGTCACCACCCTCTTCTGAGAGGCCGAGAACCGGCAGGATCCTTCTGCAAAGGGCATCCTCTCCCTGCAGCAGCACTCGCGGATGGCTGCAGCGAGCCTGGGGCTCCATCACAGGCATGGCAGCAGCTAAGTCAAAGAGGGGTGTCTGCAAACCCCACTGCACCTTCAGACAAAGAGTTCTAGCCCCATTGTGCCGGGTTGCCCACCAGTGCCAGCCGGTATAGAGTCAAACACGACCGAAGGATGAGTTTGGGGTTGGGTAGGACAAAGGAGGTGGCACTAAAGAGAAGCATGCCATCCATGGGGCCTTGTGGTAACAGTGCTTTGTACTTGCTCCCTGAGAAGCAATATTTAAATACTCCTCCTCCTCCTCCTCCTCCTCCAGGACCCAAGGGCATGTGGTTTCCTTCTGGGCTGGAAATCATCCTCTACATCTGCAGCTCCAAATCCATCTCATTTCAGAGGTGGCTTTTATGCAAGTCACCCGTTGCAGGAGGGCCCACAAATTGGCCCACCAACCACCAGGCCGCACTGCCCTTTCTGACTTCTCAGTGCTCTTTGTAGTTTGTCCTAATTAATTAAAAAAGTGTCCAGAAACCCAACTCTACAACTGGCCAGGGCGCTAGTACACAACCTCACAAACTACATGCAGGACTCACGCTGTCAGCAAGTGTTATCTTTTGGGGTGATTTAACACACCGCTCTTTTGTTTCCAGAGAACTGCTAACATGGTAAGATCAAGAAAACGACACCCTCAAGGGAGGCAGGAGGACCAGCGCGGACAGGCAATTGCTGGTGGCCCCCTGTGACCTTGCTGGCTGCATTCACACAGTGAGCATCACTATTTATTTGGGTATTTTTTTTACCCCGTCCAATTCCCAGTGGGTCGCTGGATGGCTTCCTGCCATGCCTCTCCTTGGAAAGCCCATCCAAATATCTCTTGGGCCAAACACACCCCTTCGGGGAGAAAAAGGCACATGAAGAACAGAGAGGAGCTGGTCAGCCACTGAATGGTGGGTGTGTTGGAGGCCTGGCCTGGCAGGGGCATGCCAAGTTCTCATGTGACCCTACACCCATTCCTGAAGGAGGAACATCTTTTTTGCAAACCGCAGATACATGAAAACCAGCAACAGCATGAAGCTTGCCTCCAGAATACACCCATTTATCACAGAAGCTGGTTGCTAATAACATACAAGAATATTCCTTACCTTAAATTCCAAACCAACCTACAAACCCATTTCTGTCTTTCCCTCTGACGCTTGCTTAAAATTTCTGTAGATCATTGCAAACAGGTTTCAATATGAGAAACTGCACATGTAGATCAGAAGTAAAAAGGCAAAAATCAGATGTCTCTGAAGCCCTCCTACTTTCAAAGCCAGTCTTCAGCTGGTATCACATTATGGCTAAGTCTGTGAGCTCCAGATCTTGACTCCAAGCCCTGACCATGCACTCATCAGGTGGTCTTAGGCAAGCCGCTGCTGCACGCAACCTTGTATCATCGGCCATATGTGGACAAAAATACTTACTGGAGAGTTACGCATTTCCTGAGATCATGTACCCAGCACGAGGAGCTCAAGCCCAGGGGACAAGTCCAGCCCTCCAGGGGGCCCACTCTGGCCCATGTGGCTTCACGGATGGTCCTGGACCTTTCTAGTTCCACTCCCTTCCCCCTGACCACAACTACTGGCGGGCTCTGGCCCTGATTCTGCAAAGCAGAAATGCCTTTCCTTGGACTTGGAGTTTGGAAGAACTTTAAGTATGCTGGTATTTTGGCATCATCCCTTTTGCCCTGAGTGCCTCTGATGCGTGGGAAGAATTTTGACTATGGGAGGGGTGGTATAAAAGTGCTTACTAGCGCAGTGACTGCAGGGAAATGCCAGATGTGACACAGCCCTGCAAGTAAATTGACATTTGAGATGCAGTGGCAACACCTGCTTTCGGCTGATGTCTCCTGCCAGGGCAAGGACTTCACAGCTTACCTTGGTCAGGAAGGACCTGCGAGTCCAGCTGGTCTTTCATTCCCTCATCTTCACTCTTCTGATCACTCACGTCAGCAGTCAACGTTGCGGGTTCGAATGCCTCCTCGGTTGGCCCCTCAGAATACCCTGGGCTTAAATCATTGCTGGCTGACTGATCTGCGGGAGGAGGAGAATCCGGATCTCCGGGCTTGAGAGGAGGAATCCCAGTGCTGTCCAAGGCGTTGAAAGGCACCGTGGGGACGGCATAATCGATGAGCAGGTTTGTGTCCTCAATCTCATTAAAAGATTCTGTAACCATTGCTGGACTTGCATAGAGAAGTGGTACCTCAGAGGTCTACCAAAAACAGACAGACAGACAGACAGAGTGAGAGATCAAGAAAAACTGAAGAGAGTAGCAAGTGCTATTGTAGTTTCCTGTGGTGCAGGTAAGGACCCCTTCGCACGTCTTTTTGCTTGAAGCGAGAGGGTGCAGGTGGAGACCTAAAGAAAGCTGATCATGCAAGTGGCCAAAGCAGCAACAACAGGCGTGGTACAGATGGGGTCTCTTTTGAACCAACGTGCGCTGTGGTGGCAGGAAAGGGGAGGTGGTCTTGGCCACATTCATGCAGTCTCCTGTGATGGGCTGTGCAGGGGCTGGTGGAGAGGGGCCTGGGAGGAGGCTGGGGGAGACCTTCCCTCCAGGCTGTGCTGCAGCCTCTCAAGGGAGGCTCAGCTTCTCTCCCTGCACTGACCACCATGGATTTGCCCAAGTCACACCCTCTGAGCAGGGGTTCGCTGCTGTGGACATCCATCGGCCACCGACCCATGGGCAGGGGAAAGAGTTACACCTAAGGGGCTGACCAGTCTGCCTCACGGGAGTTGTGCTTTTCCCTCAGCAATGCAAGTAGATAGGAAGTTCACAGGCAGGCAGGACTGGCATAACCTTTTAAGTGGTGGTTCTGGGTTGGGCCCAAACCAAAGGAAAAGGTGGTACAGCCCCCTCCATACCAAGGGCTGAGTGGCAGCTGAGGCGGAGCTGCAGGGTTGTGATGCAGCTCAGGCAGCAGCAGCAGCCCCCAGTTCAGCCAGATCCCAAGCCATAACCAGGCACGCTGCGGCCAGGCTCAAAGCCTGCACTCTCTCTCGTACTGCGTGGTTGCCTTTCCTGGAACAGCCTCCCAGCCGGGCACTGCAGGTGCAACCCGTGCATGGAGCAGGAACACTTGCCAAGGGAACCTTGATCTGCTTTGCCCTTCTGTACACTCTGCTGCAAGCATGATCTAGGAAAGTTTTTGCATGATCAAAAGCAAATAAATGCAGGTGCTAGACAGCGGATTGTTATTTTGAGTGCAACAAGCCATACGTTTCTTTAATACTTGTTCCCCTCATTCACTTATAGAAATCTATGCCCTGCCCTTAGTAGGGGACATCTTTGCTGTCAGGAACTGGAACGAAAAAATGCAGTGATGGAAAGGATGTTGGGAAGGGGATCTTTCCCTCTTTTTCTAGATCTGGAAACTTGGATAGATGAGCACTTTTGCTATGCCAAACATCTCTCTCATAGTCAGCTGTAAAATAACATATAACAGGTGTGGCCAAACCAAGGCTTGGGAGCTGCATGTGGCTCTGTGCGTTTATCTTGCAGGTAGCTGGACACCCACTTGCCACTTGCTGGCACCACCTGGGGGTACCCGATTGCTGTTCATCCCCTGTGGGCACCTGCTTACGGCTCTCAAACATCTGACATCTTGTGCATTTGGCTCTTCCATTGAGCAAGTCTGGCTACCCAAGACATATCACGTAGTGGTTCCCAAACATCAGTATATGGTGTAAGTGGGCATGGAGGAAAAGGGGGTGGTGGAACTGGACACCACAATTTAAAAACCAATGGTGAGACTTAAGAAGTTGAGGTATGGCAAAAGTAGCACTGAATGCATGCATTGATAGCAATTATATCACATTTATAGGTGTGCAGTACTGACTGGGTTATGGAGGACTTCACGCAGCGAACAAATTGAAGGCGTTCTCGCAAGTATTTATTGACATGCGTGCTAACCAGAATCTGTGCCGCAGTGCTGGGGACAGGTTCCAGGAATGTAGCAATGTTGATGGAGGACATTCTGAACATCTAAGAGACTAAGCATGACCTGATCAGTACTGTATGCCTACTTTGGGCGCACCCTGTACAGAAGCATGGGTAACTTTGCTATTTGCACATGCTGGAAGGTTGACTGATCTTGCAAAAATTATCAGTCTTGCAAAATGTACCAATGTGTGCTTGTATTTTTATAACATGTTATAAACAACAATAGATTGTTTATAAATAAATCCAGATTTAAGCTGAGCCAGCTGCTCTTAGAAAAGTGGATTCCCCATCCTCCTCTTCCCACAGCAGTCCCTCCAATCCCTTTAAAATGCTACACAGCAACCCTGTTGAATGGGATAAATTGTGTGGTGTGTGTGATGAGAACTATAAAAACCTGGGTGGAGTGACCATCCCTGACCAGAGTCCTTTCTCTTGCACAGAAGTCCTTCCTCTTACAGAATGCAGATCTTAGATCCAGCCCAATAATTGCAAAATTAGAGACAAAAAGCCACTGAAGTATCATACGGTGGGAATACGATTCAGATATTAAAAGATGAAGAAAAATAAATAAAAATGCTCAAAATGGCATAAGAATGAATGAAGGGAAAGTAAGTGCACCATTTATCACCAAGCCATAACCACCTGTGTCTGCAGGATGCCAATCATATTCATGATCAACATTTTATTCTTTAATAATTATTTTATTGTGTGGCTGATATATCTCTTGACTTGAGGAATACCAGCAGGAAAATTTACTCACCCAGCCAAGTCCAGCCACTGCATCAGTGGCCACTGATTTGATATCATTCTCTACATCACTAGCTGGTCTAATAGCTTCTGCAAAACAGAACAAATACAAAGGATTTTTTTGGTAAATCTGCCAGGATGAAATGCAACAAGCTGATTATGGATAAAAGTGTACAAGATGTTATGTAAGAGGATGTATTGTAAACTGAAGTCATGCCACATGACAAACTTAATAACAAAGCAGCTTTTTTATTGTCTGTCAATATTAACCAAAATTGTATGGAGATTTGCCTGCTCTAGAGAACTCAGCTCTTTGTTAACCAACTGGAAATATTCAGGATTTTCACATTGTGCACTTGTGACAAAAACCAAATGTACATTCAACTGGAAGTGCCTATCTGTCCTCACTGTGGCACACTTAAATCCTCAGTTTTGTCTTTCAGACTCTAGTTTGTTGCGTTTGCATGTAAATATTCTCTGGTTTGCACATAAAAAGCCACGTTGCATCAGCTGCAAAGCTGTGCCAGTGGAAGCCAAGGCATGCCTGGGAGACTTCTGGCAGCCCCCTGCCCCACTTCTTGCACCCCTCTGCCCTGCCTCTGCAGTTCAGAAGGCTCCCTGGAAATTTGGGGAGGCTTGTCAGTAGCTGCGCAGGGAAGCTCTCCATGGGATGGGGAAGGAGGGTAAGTAAGTTACAGCAGCAGTAGCAGCTCGGATGTCAGTACCCTGCTCACAATCTGGCATCCTCCATCTTGTTCACGACCTCATGTCATTCTGAGACATGGCTGGGAGAGGCCGCCACTGAAGAAATGGTGGGGAACGCTCAGAGAAGACTCACATGAATGGCCCTCTTGTCCTTGTGGGACAGCCCTCTCCTGACCAGCCTGCTCACACTTTGGCCATAGCAAGAAGCATCCTTCTCTTTTGCCCGCCCGTGAGAGCAGTGAGAAGGCTTTTCCCACACAGGTCTGGAATACGCTGCTATTCGGGATCTGCTAAGCCCCATCTGTGGAGATTCTTAAGGAGGTCCTTCAAACCTACTGGGACAAAGCAAAATTCCCCACAGAAAACCAGTCCAATGCCAAATAATCAGGGCAAGACAGGAGAAAAGCGGTATTCAGAATGCTTTTTAGAATGCTGGCTGGTGTGGCTGTTTTTAATACTACCTTGTATTATTTTAATACCACCTTTACTTATTTAAAATAATAATACAAATTATTATTCATCATGCATTTTATTGCTGCATGCCCCCTTGGGAGGGCTTCTACCCTTGAAAGTGGCTAATAGAACTTATAAATAAATCACTGAATGTTGAAATAAATACTTTTTTTCTGGGGATCAGGTTAGATAAAGAAACATCTCAGAAAGTTTTCTGGGAAAATGTCTTTGGAGAAATTTCAGCATATCCTTAGGTAGTTGGTCATAGTCACTTTATTTGCATGCTGTTTTTCTGGACACATTACTCTAAAATTAGTTCAAACAAAACATAATAAAAATAGCATTGCTACATCAAGTTGGGCATCAAGCTGACTAGCTGGGCTGTGGCAAAGCAAAAGGGTCTCCTGTCTCTGACATCTCTCCCTTCCAGCTGCAGCCCTGTTAAGTCACACACAAAGCTATTCAGGGGGATTTTAATTTCTAGTGAATTTTCCAACCAAGTGGATTTCCAGAGGGGACAGGGAACTGCAGAAGGAAAGACAAGCTGGGAAAGCTCTGCTCGACTCTTAGAATAGAGTCAGGATCCATGCAAAAGGGAAATGAGCACATTTAATTATAACAAGTGAGCTTTCTGCCTTGGTTTCTATTAATCCTTTCTTCATCTGGCCACAAAAAAGATTCTGAAAGGAGGCCATGTGGTAGTAGTGGTAAAATGCCAGTATGCTTTGTGATCTGCAGAAAGCAGAGATGGCCCAGCCCAGTTCTGTCTGTGCAGAAAGCTGGGTGCCTCCACTTATTTTCACGCACCCACCAAACGTGGTTGTTGCATTTTAACCATTCCCCATGCAGTCCAGGAGCATAAATTTGCACCAGAGGTGATCTATTAAAGAAGCACTCAGAATCTACCCAGTCAATCATCTGTAGGAACCTTTGTTATCTGAAGCTCACAACATATACAGGTCATCTGGGGTGCGCCTCAATCCTGCCTTTTATCACGTCCTCAATTAACAGCAGGCTCAAGGGTTGCCTTTTACCATCTGGCTGCATCCGTTCTCTGCAGATTTGAATTTGGCCTCACGAACCCCTGCTTTAGCAGCCTGCTCCTGACATTCACTCTAGGCTGGGCTGCTTCTAAAGGTCTTCAGAAGGTTCAGCCTGCACATTCTGTAGCAGCTCAGCTTCTGGCAGGAGCAGACTAGGGACTGTGTGACTGCAGTATTGGCTTGACTGCACTGATGGTCTGTTTACTTCCAAGCACAAATCAGAATGTGGATTCTGAACTTGAAGGGCTTAAACGGCCAGAGGCTGCACGTTTTAGGAGGTGCCTGACCCTGTCTGTTCCCCTGCCCCCATTCCCTGTGGTACAATAGAGAGATAAGACTTCATATCCCACCTTTCAGAAGAGGTGGCAAGCCTACGGAGCTGAGCTTACCCAACAGCAGCATCCCTTGGTGGTGTGTCCTTCCGTAGATTAATCTGCCTCTTTTCCAGGCATCATTTAGATGGATGCCAAATTCTTTCTGTTTGCAAAAGCACCCTGGCTTCATAATCTCTCATACATTTACAGATACATTACTATCTGACTTGTTGCTTCACTGACTGAATCATCTTGGAGTTCATAGTTGTAGGATTGTTTGCTGTTTAATCTTTCACTTTAACTGTTATGGTGTGTTACTGTATGGCATTTTGACTGCAGTCAATATACATTTGAAATAAATAGGATTATCAAAAGGTAAAGGGTCTATGTTTCCCCACTAAGAATGGAAAGTTTCTTTTTACATGAGGCGGAAAAGAGAAGGGAACCAGAAGGGTAGCTGCCCTGCCCTAATTGCTCCATACCCTAATTCTATAGTGTCTGGATTGTACCCTGGATTGCTCAATGATCACATAATGGATCTGAACGCTTATGAGCACTCATGATAATAACATACTCTTTTCATATTCTTTATCCAGTCTGATTTTTTAAAGTGAAGGTTAATGAAATTAGTTTTTAGAAAAAGGAAATGGAAGATTTGAAAGTGATAAAAAGTTCTTTTGGTCCTATTACTTAAAATAAAGCTACAATGTACACAGATTAAGAAAATAAATGCCTTGTACAATAAGACAAGCATACTGAGGATGGGTATTTATTTATTGACTTAGTTTGCTGTTCTCCTCTTTTTCCACCCGTCAAAGTGGACTTTCTAAGAGATTAATTATGACCCAACAAGAGAAAACGAAATGCCATTTGGAAGCCTGCAGGGCAACCACGTGCAAGCTTAGATGGAAGAGGGCCTTCTTGTCCCCGCATGCCCCAGCCGGCTTGCCTGCACCTGCATACAGTTGGCCCTTAACCCTACAATATTCCACTATTGGCTATAGTGGGCAAGATCTGCCAGGCACTCACCTCAAGGAAGTCTGCCTTCCGACTCAAGAAGCTTCACATCATGCTAACCAAAGGCTGTGCAGCTGAAACTTACTTTTCCTTTACTGCAGAGCAGCTGCACGGAGTCGGATGTGTACCCTGGCCAATGCACACCTTTCTTGCCACCTGTTTGCATCTCCAAATTGCAACCCTCTCCCATGCTGATTTTAAAAGGTGTCTTGGAAGGGGTGAGGCATTTGAAGAAACAAAGGGAGGAAGTTTAATTCTTTCCTCCCAGGCAGGGCGCCTCACAGTTGCTCTAAAACAAAGAAGAATATCTGGCTCACCTATGCAACACAACTGACCTTCATGGATCACTTAAAGACTAACGTTGTAAGGCAGGGGTCCTCAAACTCTTCCACCAGGGGGCCAGTTGAAAGGTGCCGGTGCCGGGCGTGGGCTGGAAAGGTGGTGCCGGCGGTGGGCGCATGCTGAGGTGGGGGCAGGGCACGCAGTGAGGGGAGGGGAGGCGAGGGGAGGTGCAGGTGGGCATGCGCCGTGAGGCGGGCGCATGAGGCAGTGTCTTGCTCACTCCAAGAAAACGATTTCCAAGCGAGCAAACCACTGCCTCCCCAAACGCAAGGCAAGGTGGGCAATGGCAGGCGCAGGCACACACGCAGCGGGTCCAAATGGGCATGGCGGGCCGGATAAAGGGGCATGGTGGGCCGGATCCGGCCCCCGGGCCGTAGTTTGAGGACCCATGTTGTAAGGGAACAGAAGCCTCCATTCCCAGTATGACACAGTTTGCAGTATGACTATTTTAGGCAGAGAAAAAAACACCCAGAGGGATTTGGAAGGGAAGAGGACTGACAAAGGGGGATACCTGTTTTCTACTTTCTCCCCACCACCAACTTGGTGGTGAATCGAGCAGGTGAATCATACGACTATACAACTCCTTTTCTGGGAGGTGGAAGCCCAGAGGGCAGGGAAGCTGTGCCTGGAGGCTTCATTATCAAGGACCAATCTCGATCAACTAGATCAACTGACCGTCAGTAAACTGGAGTGTTCCAAGGTCCATGGGTAGTGACTTGTCTTCCTGGAGTGCCATGACAACCATCTGCTGAAGGTCTGTCACTTTGGGTTTAGCTGCTGGGACTCCCTCCTCCGTACGAAGAGGGTCTTTTTCATTTTCGACCTTGTTGGAGCCAATAGTGGTGATGTCATCCTCAGGGCCTTTAGCTTCTGAGTCGTCTCTCTCGAAGTTGATGACATACCGTGCGACGGTGCTGCTTGAACTGTGGTATGGGGAGAAAGAAATGGGAGAGACCTTGGTCCTGAAAGTGGTAGGTACATATTTCATTGAAACAAAATTGGTAATGGGGAAGGTCGTGAAAGGCCTGCATATAATTAGGGGATTGATTTTACCAGCTAGGTTGCTGATTTAAGCTAAAAACAAGCAATGTCTTTCAGCCTAGTCACAGTACCTATGGTGGCAGAGACAGACTGCAACTGATTTAGTTTTACTGAAGTTCTTGTAACAGAGTTCACCCCACCCCAGAACTTACACGCTTCTTTCCCCATCAGCATTTGATTCATTTACCCTACCAGAAACACAATCCACTATATACAATATAGCCATTTTGCTGTCAGCATTTAGGTATCTATGTCTTAGATTTCCTGAATGTTACCTTCCCTTCTTTCTTTTAAACCCTTAATTTTTTTGGAATAATAAACAAACAGCATAACATGTGGGGTATGATAACAGGAGTGAAGACAAGTAATGGAATTACTCATATGGAAAAAAATTGTGTAAAAAGATCCACTTTTAGAAGATGGAATTGAGTAATATATAGAAGAAGCACATATTGAAAAATTCACATCTGAACATAGAGATATAGTGAATGGCATTATTTCCATTCAAGAAATATCACAGGCTATAAAGAAATTAAAAAAGACAAAGCACCTGGCCCAGGCAGTTTTACAGTGATGCATTATAAATGTTTTGGAGAAAAATTAATGGTGCCACTTCAGAAAGTAATGAATGAAATTAATAAAGAGAAATGATTGCCTTCATCACGGCAAGAAGTTTATATGACATTGATACACAAGGCAGCCAATGATCCTACTTTGCCACAGTATTATAAACCTATTTCACTATTAAATTTGCGCTATGAACTCTTCATGCCAATCATGTCAGAAAGACAAAGAAAATGCATAGCAAAACAAATGCATACAGATCAGACTGGTTGCATACCAAAGAGATTAATGAAAGACAACATCAGTTTTGTGATCGACATAGTGTGTGGGAAAATATTCCCAAATGACAACATTTCATAAAATACTATGCTTTCCCAACATTCTAATGGTGTTTCTTTTATTTTCTTGCCTAGGAATGCACACATGCACACACATGTGCATACGAACACATACGTATTCTTGCCCTAAGTGTTGCATTCCTTGCTCTTCCAGAATGGTCCAAATGGCATGTTCCAAGACCACACATCAACAGCAATCCCCTTTCCCACTTCAGTGTCCTCCAGAACTTTTGAACTTCAGTTCTCATCACCCCTAGCAAGCAAGGCCAAGATCCAGGAATGCTGTGAGCTGTAGACCAGAACTTCTGGAAGATAGCTGGTCAGGGAAGGCAGATGTACATAAGATTGGTGATGAGGGGACGACTCTTTTCCTATGCTATTTAGGAACTCCTCAAAAATACTTCTTGGGGGCTGCTTGAACTTTGAAAGTGCATGACTGCAATGTAACCCATTCAAAAAGGGGGCAAAGAAGAGGTGGCTATCCTGAAGAAGCCTAGTTACTCAACGGTTGCGGCAGATGTCCCACATGATTTGTTATGAAGCAGTAGTAAACAAGAAGACACTGTCCCACACCCGTCACATGTAACAGGGATACTGTGGTACTGCTTCTGGACTGCAGCTAGCGCAGCTGTACCAATAACTTCAGAAGCCTTTGGAGGAGTTGCTTGGCAGGGCGTCTCTTACTTGCTGCAGCAGAACACGACTGCTTAAGAAAGATGCAAACAGCAATACTTTTTCCCAGAACACAAGCACTGCCCTGGGCTGGGATTCTTCTGAAAAAATAAGGCAGGGTGTGGCTACTTACGCAGGGCGCCTTTCCTTTGCTACTGAGCAGTTACAACCAGACCAGAAAGAACTGTCTGTAGGGATGAAAAATTATAGGGCAGGGGGCAGAACCTTTCTTCTTTTTTAAATCAAGGCATTCCAAGACAATAATATTTTCCAAAGCATGTCATCATACCAAGGTTGCAATGACACTGGATTTGCCACAGAGATAATCGTATTTGTACAAATGTTCAGAACCCATGTGCCACTTTTCAAACCTGTTTACTGTCTATTCTTCTCAGAACAAGGGAAATAAATATTTCCAAACTGCTTTTGTTCAAAACTGCTCTGCAGTGGCAAACTTTGGAAGGGAGGGGGAGACACTGGAATGTGCTATGAATTTTGCACTCCTGGTCAAAAAATACTGCAGTACTGAGAAAAAACAGACTGCAAAAATATTTCAGAGTTATATCATACATTGAAAATCAATAGTTTCTGGGCAGGCACCTGAGGGGTCTGAAAAATCTACCCCTCTGACAATTTATTTTTGTGAGTCAAATGAGAACTGGCCTTACAGCAGGATTACAAAGATGCATAAAGGAAGCCTGGGAATCAATTTGCAAGACATTTTCGAAGGCGGTGTAGAAATGTATTTATTTTGCTCTTTCCTTACTCTTCGAACTTATAGATTTATCTGAAGACAGGAGGAATGTTTCAAGAGTTCTTCAATGTCTGGGTAATGGCCATATCAAGAAAAGAGCCCTACATTCTAAATGGTGGCTTTGCATTATGCCGAAGGGAACCAGTTCCATGCGGATGAGATGCTGCCGGCCTAGGCAAAGTCTCAGGCTTGTACGCTCTCATCCCTCTGCGACGAGGACCTGGCCAGGCTTTTGCTTTCCTTCTCCTAATCCCTGTCTTGTCATTCTGTTTGAGCCAAGGATCATGGGTTAGCACGAACTGTAGTCAAACACTAAACAGGCCAACAATGAATCCTAGGGAAGGATCCAAGCGAGCTACCACTCTTAGTACCTGATGCTGTGCTAGCAGAAACCAGTCCTTGCACAATCTCGATAGTACTTGTGAGTGCATGGGCTTCCTGGGATGCGCGCCATTCTGGCAAGTCTTCCTGACATTGCGCAAGCACTGGTTTTCCCCAGCAGTGTCCACCGGGCCGGCAGACGTGCACTGTTACAGATGTCCCCTGGCCAGTTTCATTGGGTTATTTATCACACTACAGCGTGCTTTAAACTACAATTCCTAGTTCATACATTATAACATGTCAGGAATTAGGGAGCGCAAAACTAAATCCTTCCAGCCATGCAGTAGGTGGAGAGGGAAGTGAAATTTTGCATGCCTGAGGCTTTGCTTGCAGCCAGGCCATTGTCTGTCTACTTCGTGTCCGGGATAAATATAGTCCTTTGCTCTTTGTTTATTTATTTATATTTAGCACTTTTGTATGCCCTTTCTTAGCCACATGGCTCTCTTCATATCAACATCATTCTGCTTACCTTTTATAATGGCTACATAGTACTTCTAACTTCTGTATATTAAAACAAGGCAAATTTTTTCACAGTGTCACCGCTATTAAGTATAATGTGTGGTGTGTCATGTTATATACCACACCAAAACAAACAAACAAACAAACAAATTGCAGGAAATTACCCATCTTTTTCCTTCTTCTGCCTTCAGTTCCGCATATAAACAGGAGAGATGTAAGCATTTCAAACAGAAAAGAACAAGAAAAATTTGAGACCGTTAAACATGGCTATTAGTATATTCTTTATCTTTCCTCATTATTTCAGCATATGAGAGAGGCAGCCTGATTGTCTGATATTAAAGAAGTATTAGAAATTATGCTTCTTTAATTTACAGGTAGTCCTGGATTATGAGCAACTTATACTTACGAACACACAGACTGCCATCAACCCTACATGAATATCTCTACACGACCTGTTTGGTGACATGTTATCAGTGGCCGCATAGTTTCCTAGAGATACAGTATTCATGGTTTTTTGTTCCGTGGAATCAGCTCAAGCATACCCAAGCCCGTGTGTTTTGGGATGTGTGTAGGGTGTGTAGTTCCCTGCTTTTTTTTCTTTAGCATTTTCCCTTGTAACCATGCCCTCAGCTGCTGCAAGGCCATTTAGGATGAGCAAATGAAAGTGGCTGTACAAACAAGCCTTAATGCGTACCTCAAGAAAGGGACTACAGTGATACCACCATCCCCCGCCCCCAGCAGCACAAACTCTCCACCACAATCTCCATCATCATCAGTTAATGTTGGGCTTATTGTTACCTCAAGAATGTTATAAACTGTTTTAAGAACTGCCTCTTATTTGTTTTTTACAATATTGTATTCCAACACACATACATACAGATTTGCGCTCTCTCTCTCTCTCTCTCTCTCTCTCTCTCTCTCTCTCCAGTACCTGTAGTTACTTTATTATTACTGTATTATTATCATTATTTTATGCTGCGTTGTGCTTAAGATGCTTTAGTGAATATGGAAACATTTCTTACGTGTTTTATATGCATAGAAAGGTAAAATATATACAGTGGTACCTTGGCTCACAAATGCCTTGGTTCACGACCAAATCAGGTCATGAACAAAAATTTCATGAAAATTTTGACGTGGGTCACAAACTCCGCATTGGGTGGTGACCAAGATCGCAGCCATCTCCCCGCTCCCCCGAGTGGGGAGATGGCCATGATCACAGTTGCGTTCATGCAGGGCAGACGTGCTTGATCATGGACGCGTTCCTGCAGGAAAGACAGGCGCAATCTCGGCCATCTCCCCCCACAACCAGCACGATAGCGCCATCTTCCCCCCACCCCGAGTGGGGAGATGGCCGTGATCATGCTGGGGGCGGGAGGGGGGGAGATGACCGAGATCGCGCCCGTCTCTCCCCCTGCCCAGCGTGCTGGGATGACGGGCGCGTGCAGGGATGACAGGCGCAATCATGGTCATGCTGGGGGGGAGGGGGAAGATGGCTGCGCTTGTGCTTGGGGTGGGGGGGGGAGATGGCTGTGATCTTTGCTGTTCTTTGTCACTTTGCTTCACATTTTTCTGCTTTAAAAAAATGGTTACAGAACGGATTAACCTTATTTACACTGAATCTTATGGGGAAATTTAACTTGGCTCACGACCAATTTGGGTCACGACCAGAGTCCTGGAATGGATTAAGTTTGTGAGCCAAGGTACCAATGTACATGTAGTAAGACAGACATGTGATCTGACTTACAGGCAAATTCAGCTTACGGATGTTCTTAGGAACTGAACTCATTCTTAACCTGGGGACTACCTGTACTTCTGCTGCTACACTCCCTCCCTCCCTGTAATGAAAGGCGCTTTCCACAGGTTGAAAGCTGTTTAGATTTTCCTCCCCTTTCCAGCATCTCCTCCCTGTCCAAGGTGACCATTTGCACCAGAACAACTACTAATCTGTGCCTCTCCAGTAGCAACAAAGAATCTGGGACTGACTCTGGTAGGCTGCCCAAAACAGCCTGAAGATTTCTTTCTCGGTCAGTCACCACTAGATTAGTTCCTTTCAACTTATACTGAATTGGGGCTTTTGGTTCCAAATGTGCATTGTTTTATACTTGCTTTCCATGGACTGCATTTGCCATGCCGTTGCCCATTCCTCCAGCTTAGAGAGATCCTTCCGGAGCTCTTCACAACCCCTTTTGGCTCTAACCATCCTAAGGGTGCCACCCTCCAACAGTCTAAGAGGCCAAAGGATTATTCCGAGTTCCTGCTCTGAGATCCAACAGTCTCAGAGCAGGGACTCAGAAGTGCCAGCTGCCCACCCCGAGGTGGTGAGTGAGCCTCCGAGGGAGAAGAGCGGGGCATTCCGAACAGTCACGGTCTCCATACCACGTTCCAAGCATAGGCTGCATGGAAGACTCCAGGTTCAGAGGCTCATGCACATCGAGAGCACAGGCACCGGATTGCACCCTAAATAACTGAGTGTCACCAGCAAAGTTGGCCACTTCATTTCATTTCACTAGGAGCTTCTTTTGTGCAGATTTTGCCTCTAATTGCTTCCCGCTCGGTGCAGTGTGGCATTAGGGGCAAGTTGCCACTTTGTCCTGTTTCTCATGGTGGTGGCAGTAGGGAACTCCCATTCCTGGTGTCCTTGGATCATTCTTCCCCCACCCCCATTTCCTTCCCTACATTGCAAGGTATCTCTATTTTACAATTTTAAAGGAAAAGGAAAACAATGCAGTTAAATCAGTTATGCAAACCCTACCTCTACCATGGAGGGGGGGTGGGGGGGGCAGGCGACCCTGGCTCATTATGTCTATTTAAAGTTGTAGGGAACGTCTGCTGAATGGGCCAGGGCCAGGGCCCTGTTCCAGTCCTGCATCCAGGCTGTTGCAGAAGGACAAAGCCTTGGCACCGTTAGAGGGTCTTGAATGTGGAAGCGGCTGCTGGTGGTAAGCAGGAAGCCCCACACAGCTGTGCTTGCTTCCCCCTTGTGTTGACACCATCCGTGATTCACTGCTCAGGCTACTCCACACAATGTTTTCCCTCTTGTACTCTGACAATGGTGCCAGAGTATAAAGGGCGTCGTTCAAAAGGATGCGCAAGAACTGTTCCATAAAATACACAGATGTGAGGGGCACAATTCTGGATGGCCTTGGTGGCAATTACTACTTTTAAGGCCAAACCCTATCCAAATGTAGAAGGAAAAATGGCCTTTTTCTCCCAGCTGACTGGGGCATGCTGGGAACTGTAGGCCTGTTTTTTGTCTAAACGGCCATAGGACTGGACCTATAATGGTAAAATCAAGTCAGACCAAACTCAAGTCCTTACAGAGCTTCTAATGCATACCCATAGAAATGGGTTGTGTCAGGATGGGGTGTGGGGTAATGAACGGATGCCCTGAGCATTCACAGTACACTGAGAAACACCTGGAAAGGGATCAGGCCAAGCTGAGAGAGCACGATGAGTCCCATGCTACTATTTAGCAGCAACAGAGTCATGCTACTGCAATTCCCATAAACAGGAATCAATCAGCGCTTCTCTGCTGCAGAATCCTAAGGAGTCCATCTTTTTTATCAATGCTTCTGGCACAGGGCAGGAATCTTTAGGTAGCAAATCTGTTCATGAGATAGCATCTTTTGGTCATGACTTTAGCGCTTTTCCCTAACCACAGGATTTTATCCTTTTGGCATTCATTAACATTAGTTAAGATTTCAGGTAATATTTGCAAGATCAGATGGTTCACAGGGGTTCATTTCCCCCTATCGTCATGGCTATTCCCTTGTAATATAACAATCTGGCCAACATTAACATCTGTTCACTTATTTAATTGTTGCAGCAGCTTGGCTTCCCAGCTACAGCTTGTATGAAACTCAGGGGCATTGTCCTCTCTGTGTTGTTGTTGTTGTTGTGTGTTTGTGTGTGTGTGTTTAAATTTCTCCGAGTTTACACAAAATGCTAAGCAACAGCATGAAAAAAATGGAAGACAAATGTGTCTGCCTTTGTCAAGAGTGAAAAGAATATCACCTTTATGACATTCACTTGGGGTTCTTTTATGCTCTCTGAATAGAAAAATCTTTCTAAGGGATACAAATACAGCCCCAGAAACCTTAACAAACCACTTCTTTCTGTGCTATAAAAGAAGAAGAAAGACACTCCCGCTTCAGTGCACCTAAGATGTACTGGAGATTGCCCGCTTTCCCTTCCAATATTAATGCCTTGACATGTAACTGTTACATAGCCTTGCATGTCCTGCTGGAACTCTCTTTCTTCCAGTCTCCCTTACCTCATAGATCAGAATATCACAGCAGTAGTTTCCACGCACTGTTCATATGCTGTAAAGAGAACAACTGCAAGCTGCGTGAAAGGAAGCAGATTGGGCTGGACTGGGAAACTGCCTTCCATGGACGGAAGGGCTCCTTCCATCTGTGCAGGGGCTCTCATCCTATTGGGGGAATGGAGGTGGTGGCAATCCCTATGGGTCCCCCCACCCTTCTGCAGTCTCCTCTACCTCTCCTTGTACCTTATACATCCCAAAACGTTCTGGAGGGCTGGAGAAGAAAAGCAGCCCTGGGAGCTACAGAGGAAGAGGGAGTTCACATTGAGCAAGCACTACTATGGAAAGGTAGGTTTTAAAAAAGACTTAGAAAGGAAGACTCATCCGCCTTCCTCTTTTAGCCAGCTGGAGTGTTCTGCACAGAACTCTCTTAGAGGAGGCTTCCCCTGGTGGAAAGGAAGCTGGGTCCAACCTGCGCTGTGTTCACACACGCGTTTCCTTCTGGGCCCATGAAATGCTCTCCTCTTGCAGGTGAGAACAGAAAACATTAGAGTATGGATTGTGCCCACCAGTCAGAATGAATGGGGCTAAAAATCTTGACGTGGCTAGCCTTGCTCCTGCTCTTCCAGCCCATTTTTGGTTTTGAGCCATTTTTAACCTCAGCAGCAGATGTGCCAGGTTTATGATTCTTTAGTTAATTCCATACATGAGAAATGTTGCATGGGGGAAGCATGGTAAGTATGGTGGAAGATGGGTATTCTAGAATATCTTTGTTTTCTCCAGAGCTCCTGTTCTTTCTTCAATAATTGGAAAGGTCAAAAGCTCATTTATTATTATTATTATTATTATTATTATTATTATTATTAGAACATTTCTATGCCACCCCTTGCCGAAGCCTCGGGGCGGCTTACAACACAACACAACACAACACAACACAACACAACACAACACAATACAATACAATACAATACAATATAAAAATATATATTTAGAGCTACTTCTGAATTTGTCTCCCTTCTTTTAAAGACAAAAATTAGCAAATTCTAAAAGGCTACTTGATAACCACAAGCATCTCACAATAACACTTTATCTGAGTTCTTACTGAGGAAAGGAAAGAGAATCTTGCATAGTCTCTTACCTAAATCCTAACACACGAATTTCCTTGAATCCTGTAAGTTTCTCAAATATCTTTTGCATCTGTTGAACAGAGAGATGGAGAGGGGAAGAGAGAGAGAGAGAATGAAGTTAATTATATGTTCATTCTTCTATCAGAGCAGCTAACAGATGGCAACTAAATAAGCATTTACTCCCAGTGGGCTCGATTCTAGCATTTGTACAACAGAACTTTGGAATTTAGAAATAACATTGGGGAATTTGTTTCAGTTCTGTGGTTAGTGGAGACCTTAATTAAGCATTTTAACTTGGACATGCGTAAATATTGTTTGGATTACTGAACAAAACCCAGTCTATACAGTAATACTCTCATCAAGCAAGCCCGGATGTAGGATTGACCTTTATAATAGTGTTATGGAGGCTACTGTTTAAGCCAAGCCTCTGACTGCAATCCAGGGTTCATTGCATCAGCAGCAGCAGCATCACAAAAGCAACATTGCTATACCCCACCTTTCTTCTGCTCGCAAGGAACCCAGGGTGGCTTACATCTTGCCTTCCTTTCCATAGAATGCTCTCAATGACAATCCTGTGAGGTAGGTTAGGCTGAGAGGCAGTGAAGGTCCCCAGTGGGGACTAGAACCCAGATCTCTTTGAGTCTCAATCCGACACTCCTAATCACTACACCACATTTGCTCTCCAGATATTAGAAGTAGAAAGATAGCCAGAGTTCTTCTGAGCATGTGCACACATCTCTCTCGTGCCACTGACACCCTCTCGTTCCTGTAGTTCAGATGCACCCCCAAGCAGGAGCAGCGAATGAGGTGAAAGCAGGGCCAGCATCAAGGGCAGGCATGGTGGCACCCCCCCCCCCAAAAGGCCCACGGCCCAGTTGGGCCCACTGACAAAACTCGCTTGGAGCTATTCTCCCTCGTCACCTTTGCAACCTGCCCCTTCACCTGCCCCTCATTCCAGCCTAAACAACAGTAGTAGCGAGAGACAGACAGCAGGCCCTGGAGCTGCCACAGATGGTGGCACCAAGAAGGTGTCTTGCCCAAGGGCCCCAGAACCTCAGATCCAGCACTGGGTCAAACAAACGCGTGTGCAAGCAGATTTATCCTAGAGGTTTCGATGAGGCTGTTCAGGTACACTTGACCCTGGGTACACTTCGATGCGGCTGTTCAGGGTCATCCATGGGCTGGGCTGGACGGTACCTTCTTTCCAATCAGGCCCAGAGTGTGCGGAAAAAGGAACAAGCACGGGCTCCGTCACCAGGCTGCTGGACCCTGCTCCTAGAATATAGTTCTTGCTTGCAAAACATGCAGTAGATCCTGGTTCACATGCCAGCACTTCAAACACCACAGTCACCAGCTGCTGTTGTGCCCACTGAACGTGCTTGCAAACTGCTGAATATGTGCCTGCACTTGATTTGGACAATTTGTTCCTAAATGCATGGAAATTTCCCCTGTGGACTAAATCAAACAGGAGAAAGCAGCCTAAATCTGATGACCAACTGGTACTTGATTTTCCGGTTTTCCCATTGCGGGCAAATGAGCGGTGACTGCAAATGTGAGAGAATTGGGCTTGAGAGCAGTGGCAAGATGATGTTTGGAGAATTCTGGTGATCTCAAATGTTGCCATCCCTGCTGCCACACACAGCTGCATGAAGACAGAATGCCTAAATGCTATGAATGTGTACAGAATCCAACACAAATAGGTCGAACTGTCAATCATGAAGAAAGTAAGTACAGTTGACCTACTGACAAGGATGGTATCTTGGCATTCCATCCCCCACTGAATATGTAGGGACAGAGGCAATGCAGCAGGCATGGTGGGGATAGGGAAGACAGGGCAGGTCCCTTCACAACCCTGTGTATAATGGGCCATGAGGACTAGCATCCTATCTGCTAAGTGCTAACAAAAATTGCAAACAGAGGCGAACAAAACAAACACAAACTCCTGACCCTCTTGTTCGGGTCAATGACAGTCAAAATAGTTCCCTTCATCCTGTTTACCCCACCCCACCTAGTTCCCTACTATAGGATCTTGAAGTGATAGCAAGGTATGGAGGGAATAATGAGGACTACTGCTATCTATGTCTCAGCCAGAAGCAGGATGCTTAGAGCTCTGTGTTCTGATAGGCTCACCCTACAATCTCTTTCTGGAGGAAGCCAGGGACAAACGTCTGGACATCTATTTAATCATGAACATTAAGGACAAAGCTGCAGGGGCTGCAAAGCAGCCGGATGCAATTTTAGGAGGGTCCATGGTAAAGCTCCTATTTTGTGCCGACAGTTAATCCCAGTATCTCCAGGCAGGCTGGGAGGGAATCCTGCATGAAACACCGAGGGGAAGGGCAGCGTTTCTGCAGTCCTTCTCAACCACGGTCAACCACACTGCCCTAGCTGGACCGAAGCTTGGACCAGCTTTCTATGGTTCTAATTTCAGTCAAAACATTTACTGATGTGCGCTGAAATATATTCTAAAAGTATTCATTCGCACACCTCCCTGTTGCCTGTTTCAAAATTCAGGCATAACCCAACCCACATCATTATCTTAGAAAGCTAGTTCATTAGTTCTTAGAACGCAGCAGAGTGCAAACAATGTGGAAATTTTGTCTACAGCTTTGCAAGGAAACTGGCTTTTTATTTTAGGGAAAAGTTCTTTCTGCATTGTTTGAACAAATGTTACATTTGCAATTGATTCAAGAATCCAAGAGGCAAAAAGAATAATCAAAGGAGCCTTCTGGCAACATCTGACTAGCCACAGTGACTTTTGCTTAACTTTTTACTAAGCAACCTTCAGATCATTAATTGCTGACTATTAAATTGCTAATGAAGCATGCTGTTAGCTTTAGTAATGATATAGATATGCCATTGCTGTTCCAACTCTGAGGGAGCAGGGATAATGCCCAAAGGACAAGAGGAGAGGGCGTGATTTTGGGTTTCCTGGCAGCTCACTTTGAAAAAATAGCTCAGACAACAGTAGTTAATTTCATTCGACATTCGTATTTAAATTGCTCATTAGGTTTATTGTTGAAATGAAATCACTACAAAATACTGTCCATTAATTTCTGATTAGGCTCAAATGACTTTTTCTAATGGTGTGTGCAGGATGGCGAAGGCTCTTTGCTGACTGGGTATCTCTGCAGTCTGTCTTAGGCTGCTGAAGGGGAGCTGGCCATGCTTGTTAGGCCAGGGGGGGAAGAGGTGTCGGCTGTGCCACAGGCCTCTCATTGGCCCAGACTGGCTCCAGATGAACCTGGGGCACCATCCTGGCCAGGTCCAGCCTTGTGGGGGCAGAAGCCTCCTCCCCAGCAGCTTGCAAAACAGGCCCTGGGGCATTCCCAGAGCTCCAATGCAGATTTGGGGGCATGTGTGGTGTGCTGTAAGGGAGGCAGGGAAATGTCCCCTGCCAGTGTTTCCCTCTGGAGATTGTAGTCTGGAAGATGACCATTACTGTCACGGCTCCTATTAGTAGCCAGCTAATGGGAAGTTGAATTTGCCTTTGTGACATGTCGGTTCATTTTCTACCAATGAGTTATTAGGTGGCCTTGGAGAGCTCCTTGGGTCCTGCAAGAACAAAGCCTTGATAACACCAGCCATTTGTTTTGCTGATGCAGTGCCATTCAGCGGTATGACGGAAAGATGAATATGGTGCCCTGTATGGATTGGTACTTGAATGTCGCTGTGACAGCGACTTGATGGTTGGGGAAACTCCTGAGAATTGATCATGGATGTCACAGGGACATGATCTGATCCACCAAGTTAAGTTTGGAGCATTTTAAGCACACAGAGGGCGGGTCCCCATGGAATGACCGGGCACTGGCAGGGCAAGAGAAGGTCCTGTTGCCCGTGCCCATGGTTTGTTTTCTGGGTGACTGTTGGTTGGTTAGCCCACAAACAACCCAGGGGTTCAGGTTTGCACATCACACTCAAAAACCTATGAAGGAGCTGATTGTAGGTTGTTCATTATTGTCCCGACTTTCCCCCCTTCATTTGTGTTTGTTTTTCTGCTCCTGTTTTGCGCTCTCAGCAGTTTTTCACTGACATTTGGTTTCGTTGAAAGATTGTAACAGTCAAATAAAAATTATAAATATTAAAAAAGCAGAAGTCGCCTGCTGCATTGCAGGCAGTGTGCTTGCTCTCTCCTACCCATCCCTGACAGCCCATGGTTTGTTTAGCCTGTGAGTTGTTCTTATGTGTGGCTCAGGTCATTGAATCAAAGGGATTTTTAGAAAGTGCTTAGATCTGGTTGGGCTGGGTTCTCCACTATTTCCTGAGAACCCCGAAGCCCTGGTGCAGCTCAGTTCTAAGCATACTTCCTCAGACAGAAGTTCCCTTTGGTTCACTTCAGTTGCAGCCTAAAGCACCGTGCCATTTTTCTATATCAGTGCACTGTGTTTAACTTCAGCCTAGCAGATGAGAAGTATCTTTCCTGTGCATTCAATGCACTACGTTTCCACTAAGGAGCAAACCAAGCCCATGCACACCAGAGCACTTCGTTATCAGCGAAGTCTTGGCTGCACTGCCACCGAGTGCCCTTACCTGAAGCTGAAACTTTGCAGCTAGTTTCTGGTATTGAGGGGATGTAGGATCACTCAGTTCTGGGGTGTATTCCTGGTCGGTGAGGGTGACGCTGAATTCTACCATCTGCTCCACGGGAACTTCAGAGACTATATTTGGAACCTCTGGTTTCAATTCCTGAAAGGACAAGAGAGGAAACAAGTTGCATTCCATTTCAGCACAGCCCAGCATCCTTTTATGGCACCTAAGAAGGAAGTCCCGGCAAGCCGGGAAGAATCCCAAGTATGACACAATTTTGGGTGGGAAACATCCTAAGTGAGCTAAGTAGCCCAAGGAGGTCTCTGGATGCTCAGTGGCCACACAGTGTGAAGTGACTGTTGAAAGGGGAAGAATGGAAGGAATATCCTGGATGAGGGCATGGCTCCCCGGAACGTGGAACAAGACCACTCCATGCTGCAGCATTTTGCTGCAGGTCCCCCTTTAGTCCTGCATTCTTTTTTTTTTCTTAATGATAGCAGCCTCTCACAGTAAGTCATACACACGTGTGGATCAGAACCGACTCACTTTTCTGTTAAAAGATTAAATGCAGCCTCTAAAATCAGTGTGGTGTGGAGAGCGGAGTAGCGGCGAATGTGTTGGAGTGGGACTGAGGAGATCTGGGTTCGAGCTCACTGGGCAATGGTGCTCACTGGGTGGCTTTGGGCCAGTTGCTGATTCTCAGCCTAACCTACCTCACAGGGCTGTTGTAAAGAGCAAATGAATAGCAGGAGGACCATGTCAGCAGCCTTGTATCCCAAAAGGAGAAAGATGGGATACAGATGCAGTATGAGTATGTGCATGTTAACTGCAGCTGCACAGAGAACTGTCAGTACACAAACGTGCATATTCCAGATTTTATTTATGTATTTAAAACTTTTATATGCCGTCCTTTCCGTATGACATCTCAGGATGGCTGATTCTGGATATTGCCTAGGAAGGCTAATTTGCAAGGTTCAGATCTGTCCCATAAACCCAAAGTCCAGAGGTCATCTGGGGTGACTTGAGCTCTGCTGGGTTGTTCTTTCGAGCAGGACCGTCAGCATGGGGGCAACCTCTATATGGAAGGATCGTCTTCCCACCGAGGAAGCATGCACTCTGTGTGTGTGTGTGTGTGTGTGCGCGCGCGCGCGCGCGCGTCAAGAACACATCCTTTCTTTAAAAGCTTTTCCAGTGTAGTGTCACCTACCGTCTATATTGCATTGTTAAGCAACCATAGATGTGGCTTATTGCATCTGTGTACTGGTTAAATCTGAAGGTATAAGTGGCTTATGAACTCAGAGCATCATCTGGCCCAGTTTTGATGGGTGAGTTTCAGTTATTGAGACCTGGGGATGTGGACAAGGTGTTTGATCAGGTCCAACGTACCACCTGTGTGCTCCACTCTCACCCTTCCCGGCTTTTTGGGAGAACTAAGGTCCAGGAGGTTGTCGATGTCTCTTTTAATAGAGGGAATGGTACCAGCCTCCTGAAAGGAGGCTGTGATTAAACTACTCCTTAAAAAGCTGAGTCTGGACCCAGGGGTTGTGAACATTGCGAATATCCCCTTCTTGGGCAAGGTGTTTGAGTGGGTGGTGGCTGAGCAACCCCAAGAACTCTTGAATAAAATGGATTATCTGGATCCATTTTAATTGGGCTTTAGGCCTGGTTTTGGAAAGGAGACCATCTTAGTTGCCCTGTGGGATGACCTTTGCTGGAAGAGAGACGGGGGAATGCAACCCTATTGATTCTCCTGGAACTTTCGGGGGCTTTTGACACTATGAATACTCAGAGCCTGTCCTTCTGGAAAGCTTGGCCAGGTTGGGAGTAAGAGGCACTGCTTTGTGGAGGTTCTGCTCCTATTTGTTTCCAGAAGGTGGTCTTGTGGAATTTTTGTTCTGGACTGTGGCTGTTGTGCCACGCGGTTCTGCCTGAATCAATCTTATCCCCCATGCTTCATTTCTCATGAAGCCACTGGGAGAGGTCATCTGGAGGCCTGAGCTAAGATGTCATTAATATGTATCTACCTCTCTTTTTCGTCAGATCCAGGTTAGGCAGTGGTCATTCTGAATTACCCGAGCGTGGTAATGGACTGGATGAGGGCCAACAAACTGAGGCTCAGTCCAGATGGAGGTACGGTTGGTGGGCTTGCCTGTCCAGTGGGAAGATTCTCAACTTGTTTTGGATGGGGTGGCCCCCTGTAGGAAAAGCTCCATAGGTTGAGGGTGCTCCTAGACCTGGAATGATCACTGGAGTCTCAAGTGGCTAGGAGCACCTTTTATCAGCTATGGCTGATTCACCAACTGAGGCCTCATCTGCACAAGCAGAACCTGGCCATGGTTATGCATGCTCTGGTAACCTCTTGTCTGGACCATCATAACATGCTCTATGTGGAGCTGCCTTTGAAAATGGACCAGAAACACCAACTAATTCAAAGCAGCATGCCTATTAATGAGGACCAGCCGACAAGATCATATCATGCCAGTCCTATGTTGGGCTGCATTGGCTGCCAGTTGAAGTCTGAGCCCAATTCTTAAAGTGCTTGTTTTAACAGTTAAAGCCCTAAAGGGCTTAGGACCAGGAAATCCGAAGGGTCACCTGATCCCATGTGTTCGTACCCATCCATTAAGATCAGCTACACAGGTCCTTCTCCAGGAATGTCTCCCTGAATGAAGTAAGGGAGGGTGGCAAACAGGGGAAGGGCCTTTTCAGTGGTGGCACCCCATCTCTGGAATACACCCCGGGGAGGTATGCTCGGTGCCATCTTTACTATCCTTTGGGTGCCAGGTGAATACCTTTGTATTCACCAGAAATTTTAAAAATTAATTATTGGGAAATATTTATATTTTAATATTGTGCTGCTGCTGCATTGCATTCTGGGTTTCTATTTTTAGATGGACGTATAACGGTTGGTATTTTTCAGGGTTGTTTTTAGCCTTTCATATTTTACCTGGGTATTTATCATTGTACATAGGGGTTTAATTGTTTGTAAAGCAGCCAGAGAGTTCTCTGGGCTATTGGGGGCCAGTATATAAATGCATTAAATACACACATACATACATACCTGACTAAGAGCTGCACAGCAACCATAATTGAAAGCACTGCAATTGTCAACTAGACTTTTCCCTGAAAGCCCCTGACTGGGCTGCCCTTAGAGGTTTCTATGCCAGCCATCAGCTCATTCAGGTCTTTCGGGGGAAAGTAATTAGTGGCACTTGTTCTGATCCGATTCAAGCATTTGGAGGAGTGTGACTATAGCTTCCATCCGCTCAGGTTGAAGACTTTTTGTTTGCTTGTTTGTTCTGGGGCTCAACCGTGCTGCACGCAGAGCGGACGCCTTCCAGAATAGCTTGCCCAGTCTCCAGGGTGCCAGAGTGAAAGGCTCTGGCGATGACACGACACAAGGACTGCAGCATCCTCTAGGACACTGAGATGGCTTTTGGAAAACAATGCTCCACTGGCACACTGTCTGTGGGTGGCCACAGACCCATACGACACAGGCCATTGCTCGGATTGCACATGTAGTTGGCCGTAACGTTAGAGAAAGTGGGAGAGGGATTGGCAAGGAAGACTGCAAGATCTGCCTCGGCAGGACACCTCCTGCCCCAGCACCGTCAGCCATCAGTTGCCCTGAGGACAGGACCCTGATGATCTTTTTCTCTTAATATTGCTTACAGTGATCGTATTCAGCCCTCCCTCCCTCCTTCACTCTCTCTCTTTGTGCGTGTGTGCTCCCTTGTAAACCGACCGCCCTTTGAGATCTGCGGGAGAGTCCCTTCTCCGGGAACCCTCCATGAAAGAAATTAGGAGAGTAAGTACCCGGAGGAGGGCTTTCTCTGCGGTGGCGCCCAACCTATGGAATTCACTCCCCAAAGAGGTCCGCCTGGCACCGTCGTTACTGGTTTTTCGGCGCCAGGTAAAGACCTTTTTATTTAAACATCATTTCAATTGTTAAAACATATGATCTGGCCTGGGCAACTTCTTCTTCCTTCTCTTTCTCCTCCTATATTTTTATTTTATACTGATAATTTTAATTTTGTATTTGTAAATCAATGTATTTTTTGTATTGTTATATTTAATGGTAATTTATTATGTACTATTGTATTTCAATGTATTTTATCATGTTGTAAGCCGCCCCGAGGTTTCGGCAAGGGGCGGCATAGAAATGTTATAATAATAATAATAATAATAATAATAATAATAATAATAATAATAATAAACCGTCTTGGCTGCATTTGTGAGAAAGAAAGTACATAAAATGGGCCAAGGCTCAGCTTACAATGGGGTACCTTTTATACACAACTGCCAGTTCCTCCTGAGTGGTGCTTCTAGTGATCCCCTCATTCTCCCTTAGCCCCTCCCCTCTAGAAAACCTATCAAAGAAAACATTGATTCCCCGCACCCCTTTTAAAGCAAAGCATGACTTCTTGCTTGGGCGATGGGAATGGGCTGTGTAATAAAGACTAAAGGACCTGATTGACAGCTGTGAACAAAACCTTTGCTTTCCAGCCATCTCAAATAACCATTATTTTTCCACAAGCATCGGCGAGAAACATCATTCACAATTAGCTCAGTGGAGAAACACTAATAAAACATTTATATCATAACTGAAGTGAAGATAGAGGAAACCTAATGGTGCTGAGCCAGAGCACTCTGCAAGCCACTGAGAGAGAAAGTCAAGAGCAATTGCCTACTAGATGGGATTTTAATATGTCCTCACCTTCACGGGAGCCTTCGTGTCGTTGACAATCTCATTCACTAGCACACCAGTAGGGGCTGCTGTGTGCAGAGAGAGAGAAAGGATTAGGAGCATCCGACAGAGCGTCCCTTCCGCCCAGTGTCAACAGGACATGAATAGGCAAATTAACCAAAATGAGTGGCCTCTGCCTGGATCTGTGTTGCAAGCCAACCTATGCATTCTGCTCTCGTGCTTTGCACAGTTCAAGCAGGAGCAAAGACACCAGCTGAGGCTGCGCACCTACGAGGGGGTCCAACGATTTGGATTCACTGGGACGTCCTGCTGGGTGGCGCATGACTGGACTGCACTTTAAGAGCCACGTTCGATCTGATGCCACTCATGCAATTGGCAGTTGGAAAAATGGGCTTGCTTTTAAGTAACTAGGGAATGCAGGGAGATACAGAGTTTTCATGCTTGACCTCCACAGCTGCAGCCCCAGATCCTGATCAGGGACCCCCACGCCTGATGAATGCATTGGAGAAATCCACCCCGTGGAACAAAGATGGGCAGTTTGCTCTCAATTGGAAAAGTAGCAGGGGCACCAAATCGGAGCCCTTTGTCTTAGCCCCCCTGAACCTGCTCTTTTTCAAAGCCATTGATGGAACTGCTAATTACATTTCTGGCTCTCCCATTTCAGACCACAGGTCCTGATATTCTGTCCTGCCTTTGCCCTGACAAGGGCTTGGCACCATTGTGGCTGGAGAGGCCTTAGTTGGAGGGTTCCACCATGAATCTGGGCTTTGCCGGGGTTTGTGGAGAATGAGTTTCCAGGGAGGGGGAAACAGGACAGCACCATGGAGAGCTCCAAGTCCTACTAGTAGCAAGGCTGTTTTGTCTGTGTGTTTCGCCGAGAACTGGCAGATGCACACTGAGCCTTACTAAGGTGTGCTATAAAGTACCTCCAGGAAGACGTAACCTTCCGGCACACCTTGCATGAGGCTTTCTCAATTAGAGGGGTTATGCCTGCTTTTAAAGCTGTGATGGCCTGAAGGCAACAAAGGTGTGGTGTCAAAACCAGCATGGCCAGAGTCCAGCAATGGCACTGTGACCTTCTCTGGAGCAGGTGGGGACGGCCTGGTCTTAGTGGCTCTCCTGGGGACAAGGCCCCGAGGTGAGAGGGATGTTGCTGGCTGCTCCCATGGCAGTGTCCTCTTCTGAGTCCTTCAAGTTATGAAAGGGCAATCCTCCTGAGGACAGGGAATTGAGACCCTGGGCCAAGATGGGGGGCTCCATCCCCCTGCCTACAGACACCCTTCCTGTGTGTCTGTGGAAGAATCCCTCTGAAGGTTTGCAGGTACTCCCATCGGCCTGCCTCCTATAACATGCAGCCTAACCTGATGCAAACTGAATCACATGTAACCAATTTCTTGTCTGATGATTTCTCTCAGCAAAGTTTGGCAGCACTGATAAAAAGAGCAGAGTTAAAATACTGCAGGGTTTGTGTTGGAAAGCTTAGTTTGCAAAGTACTCTCAAGCCCTGGAAAATAAAGTCTTATAATCCATTACTGTATTTCACTGGCAGTACCTGCTATATTTCAGAATTCCAAACTACAGTAACAATAATCCAAGCACTCAGTGTTGATGAATAGAAGCACAGTGCACATTGCTTACCTGTAGCAAGAGAAGGAGGCTCTTCTGGTTTTTTGCCACTGGTTTTCTCTGTGGAAATCTCCTCTTTTCTATCAAGACAGTAATAAGGGGACATAGTAAATTGTGCTACAAAAATAAAACAACAAGGAATTCATTCTTTCCTGATATAAACATTAGGGATAAAATCCAGCTAAAGGTATGTTCTTGAGCTGTATTGCCTGCCATAGGTGAGTTAAGCTTCTCTTCAAATCTCTTGTGCTTAAATCCACAGATCTGCTTAACTTTGGCTGGATCATGCCTTAGATTAGAGGTGAGCAACAGGCAATTTGCCCCCTCCCCACATTCCCTGCTGTTCTGCTGAAATTTGTAGTGGCAAAAGAGAGAGAGATAAAAAAAGAAGAACAGAACCAAACAAAACTGAAAAACAAATCTATTTATTGCCACAGAGCGAAAAGTAGGTCAAAAATGGCCACATGCAGCTAATTAGGCCAAATTTAGCTTGTGAACAAGCTAAATTTGTGTTGTGACGTGCTCGAGGGCAGTTTGCTGCTCCATGTTGGGGGAAGACCACAACTTTTTTCCCGTCACCACACTGGAATGCTGCAGGGTGCCTGTAGGAGTGTGAAAATATGCCCACACCCCGACAATTGCTCACCCTGCCTTAGATTGATGGAAGCTGCCCAAGGAATCAAACCATTTACAGGCGTTCCTCCATAATTCCACTACAAGCAGCCAATGAAGGAAATGCTATTGTCATAAACACTGATATGTTATAGTTATGGATCCCTCGGCAGCGGCAGCGTGCGTGGTGTTCTAATCAGAACAGGCGGGTGTCTCTCTCCAAGGAGCTCCCTGTTGATTCAACAGCAGGGGAAATGACGCAGAGACCATGTTTGCAGGACCCGACAACCCATGATGGGGTTGCTGTGCCATGTGAACCCCATCTGATTCCCTGAGGGCAACAAGCCACCCTCACAACTTGTTGTACCCATGGTAGATTGCCATCTTGCCCAAGCCCAGGTGGTTGATCCCATAGTGGAGGCTGGGAACTGGCTTCTGAGCTGCTTGACTGGAGTGATAAGCTTAGCCAGGGACCCACCAATGCCAGTGGCCCCACAAGTGCCCAAATGGCACTTTAGCTTTCAAGATGGGCCTGTTACACAGCCACCATAACTATCAGCTTTGCCTGCACTTGATTCGGACCCCAAAAGATGACGCAGAGAGGAATGCGGCTCTCAACAGCAAAAGTGGGGGGAGGGAGAGAAAAAATCAAAAAGGGCAAACCTGTGCTCTGACTCAGTTTTCCTCCATTCATACCGTTCCTACAGTTCTTGCCAAATGGGTACAAAATGTGTTCAATTTCTTAGCCGAACAATACAAACAATTCAAAATAAGAAAAGATAAGAGCCACCATGAAATACATTTACTTCTGAGACTGAAATGGAAACTGTCAAGGCGAGGCAGCTGTAACATCAGTAGTGGCTGCTGAAATGCTTTTGTGTCAGTGGAATTTACTCCATTTTCCAGCTTCTAAATAATTACAGTAAGCTTGAAAGATGCATCTGCACGGCATTCAGGCTTGGCTTATTGGTCCCAATCCAGCCCAGCCCAGTGCTGGGCTCCAGCCCCAGTGCAGGGCCTGCACAGCCCCGCGATGCACGTGGAAGAGAGGAGCAGAGCGGAGCACTGGCAGAACGATCGCACTGCGTTCCAGGTCGTCTGACGGCTGCCCCCAGTGGCTTCCTAGAGGTGCCGATAGTACCTGGTGGCACTCCATGACACCCTTGCGAGGGGCTAACAAATAACCACCCAATCCCGGTATGGAGGAAGGAGGCCACGAGGCTCTCGCTTACAGCTGGCCTGTTTGCAAGAATGCGGATGGCAGAACAATAGTACGGCTGCCGCGCGGAGACAGTTTTAAATAGATGATTAGCTGTTCATGTGGAGCAGAGTGATTAAGGCACGGGGGGCTTATGGAAGCCTCCTTGGGGCCCTTCAGCAAAAAGGCAAGATATAAATATGTCTGTCTCTGTGTGGGGGGTTGTGGTGAGAGTCAGTACAAGCACAATATTTTATCTAGGGACTAATAGGAAAGTTGCCCCTGAAGTAGATATTTTCCACCCAAAGCATATAAACCCTTCAATAAGCCCTGTTTTAGCAGTGGTGGAGAGGAACTCCTTCCTTGTCTAGTTTGTACCACAATTTGGCACATCCTCAGGGAAACGTCAGATCTCCTTTGCATTTGGAAGGGTTATCGCAGGACTGAACGTGGCACAATGCCCAGTGTGTCAGTGCCGTCTGATGGCAGCCAGGAGGCCTGCAGCCCCCGCTCACCTGGTCTGAAGGTGGAATGGAGGGGTGCTGGATCGGGGGGGGGGGGGGGGAATGCAGTGCATTTGAACCTGTGAGGAAGGCCGTAGGACAGACATGGCTAAAGGCATAACATGCCAGGTTCAGCAACATATTATTGCACAGATAAAAGTTAAGGACTGCCAAATCTACTCCCTAAGCGAAATCCATAGTATCTCCTGGAATGTCTTCATTGTGCCAAAGTTAAATCTATGCATGTTGCATAAACACGAACAGCAAAATGCACTGTTACTCATGTGTAAGTATTGATCCTTACATACCTTTTGTGATTTGTTAATAAAATGCATCAGCATGGGCTGGCAAGTACTCTGTTTTTGGTTTACTTACCTGTCCTGGAAGGGTCTATGTTTTACTCGCTGCAAAAAACATGTAAAAAGAGAAAAGAAGTGAATTACTTGAAGGTTTATTCAGCCACCGAATGGAAAGCTCTGGTTCTTTTTTATAGTCTAGTATTATGCCATGATTCATTCTAATGTCATCCTGCCCCCCTCTCCAGTGGGCCTTTCAATCTTTTCAAATGTGCTCTGGTCTTTTCAAAGTGACATGCTTACAGGTTAGAAAATGCAGTCTTTAAATCTCACCCGTTGAATTATCTCCAGATGCTCTTGAGAATTACTGAAATTTTTCCCAATGTCGAATATACAGAATGTTTCTCGCTGGCAGGCAGTAACCCAATTCTGATATTCTGTTGCATCTGGAATCCGGTCCAGAAAAATCCGGAAGGCTTCCCATACGGCTTCTTGGCAAACTGAAGCAACAGAATAAGAATATACATACTTTACTCAGAGCTAGAAATAACAGCTCAGTAGGGCAGCAAAGTAACTGTGCACAGAATTGCAATCTTTGCTTTGTACTTGTGAATACAACTCTACATAGTTCTACTAGTATTAAGACACCTCCTTAAAATAATTGTAATATTTTCTAGATAATGTGTAGTTTCCGCAAGGGAAAAGTCATAGAACATTTTCACCCCAAACAGAAAAGAGCAAGGCCAAAGGAAAGCATACAGGATCTGACTGAGGACAGCACAGACAGGATGAAGTATCAGAGAGAATACTGGATAGAATAGAAGGAAAACTAGATTTATAGAGATGCAGATGTGGTGGCTAAGACTCTTTTGTTATATGCAGCAATAGGTCAGTGGGGGTGTGGAGAGGGGGTGGATTGTTTGAAATAAGCAACTCTGTTGCTTTATCAGGCCCTGGGGCCAGAATACAGAGTTATGGCAGGCTATGGACAGGGTCAGCACAGAACCATGTGTATTTACCTTTAAAACAGACTTACTCTTGTCTCTTGCTGTTCTTGCAACTGGACCAAATGGCTAACAAGCCCTCCAGAAATGGCCAGGCCTTTTCCCTGGCTGACTGGCATGTGTGTGGCTTTGAGAACAAGTTGGAAGTAAGAAGGGGGCATCATTTTGTGTGTGTTCATTCAGGTGCTATTTAGCTTAGAGGTGCATTACAGGAGACATCATCACAGAAATTGTTCATGGTGTGGAGAGAGTGGACAATTTTCTCCCTCTCTCAAAACACTAGACCCCAGGATCGCTCTGTGAAGCTGACTGGGGGAAGCTCCAGGACAGAAGAAGGGGAGCTAGCCCATGAAATTCTCTTCCACAAGATGTAGGGATGGCTGCCACTTCAGATGGCTTTAGAAGGGGATTTACAAATCCACGGAGGAGAAACCTATCAAAGGCTGGTAGTCCTGATGCTGTTTCCAGTACGGGAGGCATTTTGCCCAAGTACCCTAGCTGCTCTCCTTGTGGGTTTCCCTTGGGCTTCTGCTTGGCCATTGTGTGGACAGACTGCTAAACCTGACGGCCCTTGGTCCTATCCTGTCCTCGACCATTATGAAATCATTTCCCCAAGGTTTCATTCTGCACCTTCAAAGCTTAAACCAGAACAATTCCTCTGCTGCTGCAATAAATAAAGGAATACAGCTCTGGTGGGTCTCTAGTATAAATAAAATGCTCGCTCACATTAAGTAGTATAATTATATAGTGGCTAAATAAGATCTAGAATGGCTTTGAAAGAGTTCTGACAGCTGCATTTAAGTATGCGAGAAGATAGATCTCCTGTCTATTGACCCACATGACAGCTTATGTCACCCTTTATCATGGCAGGCCATGCTCCACCACACTGCAAGATGGCACCGTTTCAAGAGCATCTCCACATTTTGAAAAGCTATTGTGTCTTTAGGCAAATGTTTTCCAGCACAACAAGACTGCCCTCCCCTATGTTACGTTTCCTCATCAAACAGCCTTTTGAGAAGTGTGACCGTAATAGGGAAATTATCTCCCATTGTTCTGCAGAAATGACAATGCCTGCCCGGACACAGCCTGGGATAATCAAGCTACAGAGGAACATTTACTTATAAATCTCATCATGTCCATAGTCAGTTCTATGGTTCCATCTGATTATATTCATGCTTTGTTTGTTTGTTTGTTTTCCAAATGAACCACTAGAAAAAAGAAAATCTACTTTGGCTTCCACAGCATCCCCATGGAAAGAGCTCTTCACTTTTGTATATTTACTCTAATTTGTTAAAATTTAAAAGTGTTCCTTCCTGATAATGAATAAGTAAACTGCATGCCAAAACTGTGGCGATGGTGGAAAATAATAGCCAACACAGCTGTGGAACAACTGCTGGCTTTGGCTTCATTTGGGGAAATAAAAGTAAATACGTGGAAATTCACAGAACTCAAAAGGCCGTGAGGAGAGTTCAGAACAAACACACAGTAGGCTAAAATCTTCCAAGGCTAAAATCTTCCAATGACTCCCTCTGCTAACAGAGTCTACAGAGCAGCTTGTCTCGTGCAATTAATACAACAAGCACTGCAAGAAGGGCTAACACGCACTCTGATATTTAATGGCCTGCTGCTCAAAATTGAATGCATGCATCTCAGACAACCCAAGCCCATTAATTCATTCCGAACAACCAAGAAAAGCAACGAGGGTGGGCTTTTTCTTTTGCTTTTTGTGCTTTTATTTTGCTCTATCACCAAAAACCAGACTTAATTGTTTTAAAAGGGAGGCAAGCGCTTCACAAATAATATATACCTTGGGGTTTAATGAGTCTAAGAAGCCTAGGGCCCGGGAAACTTTTGAGTTGAACCAAAACAAAAACAACCCTCAGTGGATATTTTTCTTTAAAAAGAAAGAAGAAATTCTATCCCATAATACTAATAGAAGAGTTACAAAGCTAGCTCCAGTTCAGCCTTTCTCACCCCACAGTATCCCCTCTGACTTGCAGTAGCTTTCCAGGGCCTCAAGCAAAGGTTGCTCCCACTGCTTGCAACTTTTAACTGGTGAGGCCAAGAATTTTGTGCTGGAAAAGAACAGCCATGCTTTTACTTATTTCATTGATTTGTTTGTAAATGCATGAGTTGGCCATCAGCCCAAATAGGGTCTGCAGTGACTTATATGTAAAATTTCCTACGTTGAAAACTTTACAAGCCATTTGAATTTTTTTAAAAAAGCATCAACTGCAGGAATTGAGAACAGGAGAAAATCTCAAGAAGGCAGTTCAGAGTTCAGAGGTAACACTCTGGCTTCTGCCATCAGCAAGTGGGCCCAGGGCCTTTGGAAGGAAAAACACCACAGGAATAACATCAACTGGAGGCCCATTCATCAGACGGAGAGGCAGCAGTGGAAGGAAACTCGGTTCATCTCCCCTGCAAGAAAGAACGCCCAGCTCCTGCAGTCAGTTGACCAGCTGGAAGTGCGGAAGGAAGGAAAGGCTATCCAGCCCATCCATGGGCCAAAGGAACAGAGCCCCGTTCAAGCAGGAACACCAGCAAGGAAAAATCAGCTGGCCTGAAGGGTCCACTTTGAGTTTGCTCCTTGTTCTGGTGCTGAAAAACGGAGTTCCCTTCCTGATGGGAAGTCCTGCCTCTCCTATTAATGTGAGTCACTCTGGGAGGCAGCGATTGTTTTTTGCTTGTTTTAATGAGGCCCTTAGAGGACATTCTCCTGGTGTCCAGAGGTCCAGCTGAGCTCCTGGGGTCCAATGATCCAAGGAATGTCCACTAAGAGAAAAGCTGTAGGTATGATTACTCCATTTCTATGCCATTTCCTGCTGCTCATGGTCAGAACCTCTTGCTGAAGACATCCGTGCCTGATGCTGACACCTTTGCTTTAGAAACCCTTTCTTAATAAGCAGCCATGCTTTTAATGATGTTTTCCTTTTATTCTTTCGTCTGCTTTAGCATTTTATTATTCACTGCTCTAGAATCTGTCTAGATTTGGAATGGTATATAAATACTGTGAGTAAATAAATAAAGAATGTAGGATGAAAATAGAGTAGGTCCATAAAGTGCATAAATTTGCAATCAAGCTAGAGAAACACAGTTACAGAAAGCCCTCAAACAAGACAGAAGATGTGCTTAAGGAGGCAGCAAGAGAGGGGCTGCACTAATAATAATGCTTGACTGGAATAAAATGTGTACATCTGAGTTTTATGTGATATGTTCACATAAACATAGCATTTTGCACACAATTTAAAGAACATGGTACTTCAGAAATGAGTTGGTGATTTCAGTGAAGGGGTTAATAAAGGGTGGCTTCCAACTTGTTTGGCAGTCTCTTCACATGTGTGATAAACTAGGATAAATATACAATTTCCCTTCCAATGCCAAGGGCGTAATTTGCATAATTCTGTGAGTTTGCCACACTTCAAACTATAATTCACAGATCGCAAATGGTTTCATAAATTCTGACTCGGAGATAGGTATGTTTAAATACAGGAAAATGTGTGTTATCCACTGACATATTTTAGAAATTGCCAGTAAAACAACTATAACTTTGCTTTTTCCTGTGTCTAATGTTAGAGTATTTGCAAACATTTTTCTACAATCAGCAGCTCTACAATTATATTTTTAAAAAGCAATGAATGCTGAATCTTGGTTTTTCACCAGTGTCCATGGGCCATAAAAACTGCTTCAGAATCTCTGTGTCCCTATTGCTTTACCACTAGTCAGGCAATTGAAAGTGTCATCAAAAACATGTGCAAAATCGCTATGCTTATGTGACACATCACATAACTCGATTATGTATATATTTACTTATACTGCAGACTAGTACATTTTGTGAGCTTATTTACAGGGTTGTTTTATGGTCACCAGGTTTTATTTAATTGCCACATTATTTTCCTAGTATTCGTATTCCATTGTCCTGTTTTTTATGGTGAAGACTGCATTGAGAGCATTGGCAGAGGACATGGTCAGTTAAGCACAGTAGTGGAATTTTACTTCATGCTGCCTTGTTAAAATAAGTTGAAAATGGCAAAAATTTGCAGCCTCCATAAACATCCAGCAACGGGGTCAACTGAAAGGCTGAAAGGAAAGAAAGCATCCCTTTCAGCATCCTTATGCATTCAACAGAAATGGTGGATATAAGGGGAAGGAAAGCTTGGGAAAAGTTGAAAATGACAGTCATTCTGGAAAATGGCACTTCATTATTTCTAACCTTTATAGACTTATGGATGAAAGCTTGGGCCACTTTCTGAAACTGATCCCGGGATGGGGATAGGGAATTAGTAGAATTATGCTTGGCAGGCTGCAGAATGCAGAAATATGATGCAGAAATGTGTGGGGAAAATATAGTTGAGGACAACACATGAGCGGCATTTCTAAAATGGGCTTGATAGCATTGGCACAATAAGCGGGGAATTAGTATGCTACCAGTGCAATGGGGAGAGACCGCAGCTCAGTGGTCCGGCACCTGTTTTGCAGGTGGAGGTGCTCAGCTT